ACAGGTATGTCTCAAGGATATCCTTGTTGAACGACCCTTCAAGCTCCTGTCTAGTGCAAGGCTTGACATACACACAAAATGTAACACTGCTGTTACTGGAACCGACCTCATATAAAAAAAAAAAAATGATGTACCATTAATTCCCTTCATCAGCACACAGAGGTCACTGAAGCCACCGGCGGCCATCCAACTGTGCAAAATACAAAATTGATACAAGGGCTTGCTCACCATTGTTACCCACATTCGTTCATGGCATCAATACTTACTGTGGAAATTTAGCGGGACAATCATCGCCTCTGTATTCGGCAATGTAAAATGGCTGCCAGTGGCTTCACTCGGTACAAAGGCATTGAGGGTCCAGGTCTTGCTGTATGACATCCGTGGTTACGGGGAGGGAAGTCTGTGTGGCACGCATAGTATCCGCCTTGAGCAGAAGCAGACCCTCAGCTATTGAAAAGAGCCATGTTGGTGGGGAGTACATGTATTCGTTTCTTTGGTAGCCATGCGACCATATTGTGTGTATGTCAGTGGACTGGTCCCCGTCCCTATTTTATACGGACCGGTAGCTGGCTGGCTTCTGGAGGTGCAGTGTCCCAATTCAAGGAAAATTCTCCGCCAGGCGGAGGCGCACAAAGAGTACCCTCCACAGATTCTTTCGAAAAGAGGGGTCTGTTTGGGCCAAGAAAAGGAGGGATTGTGTCAGTATGGCCCGGGATCATCTCTGTAGATTCAGGGGCACCCATCTGGGGGCAAAGCAGACAAAAATGTGATTGCAAATTTGTCAGATGAGCCCGAGGAAGGTGAGGGATGTCATTTGAAAAATGGCCGCTGAGAAGATTTGGGAACATTGACTTCTTGGGGGTGAGTTTGTTTTGGGCGGACAATTAAAAAATTCATTGGTTAACCTACTAAAAATTGAAAATTAAATGAAATCTGAAGGACCAAACAACACATTGTTTTTTGTTTGAGAGACCTCAGGGACGTCAGTTGCCTGCCATGGGGCTCCAAACTTGGTTGATTTTACACGCTTTCAATGGAGCTTGAAATGGTTCAGTGCACCCCTGGGGTCCGTGGTTGGTTCAGCATGCGCAAATGCTTTTTCTAATTATAGATATTATATTAATATACGACCTATCGTGCACGTGACAGCCGAACACAGTATCGCCTCTGAAAGAATAGTTGCTTTGGTTTTAAATAACAATACTAAGTGTTTCGCCTGGCAGTCATTTTCGCCAAGGGCTTTGAAGTAATCAAAAACTCCGTTTCGGGATACACATCCATCGAGCGTCCATGCATCTAAAAAGTCTTCCAAAGTTTTGTCACGTGAGAGTGTTGCATTGTGGGAATTGTTATGTGCTAATTTCCTCATTAACATAAACCCACAGGATTCCTCCGAAATCATTACCCGCTGCGAGTCCCTACGTTCGGAGGACGTCTGTAAGACGTCTGGAGACTACGTAGGAGACGGAAACCAGTCTAGTATTTCATAGTTGTTTGGGAATCAGCAAACTGCAGTTCCTACCAAACCTCCAACCTCCGTAACTAGAAAAATTGAGCCCTCTCTTGGTTCCACTCGGAGGGGGTAGTGAGTGCGCTCTTTAGTTTGTATATTATAGGAGTTGAGTCCATAATAAGTCCCTTCATAAGTCCACTCATAAGTCCTTTCATAGGACTAGCCATAAGTAACGTGTTGAACTCTGACAACGGAATACATTGGTAACAATATAGGCCCTTTGAATAGCTTGTGACTTTTGGCAAAAGACTGCATGACTTGTAATGGGATTGTAACATGGACTTAGAGGGAATTGTGATGGGTTCTACACTGGTTGTTGTTGATAATTGTTGTTGTTTTTGTTGAGGAAGGTGATGAAAAAAAGCGCGATAAAGGCGAATTGGGAGACCGATTTGTTTTCCTTTCTTCACAATAAAGGTCTTAAAACCCCCAAGATTTAGCCTCACTCCTCAGAAGGCCATAAAATTTAATTTGTTTAAAGCTCCCCCGTGCGGCACTGAAAATGTGTTTCCGAATTCGTCCCAGTTCGCGTGTATCAAGAACGACCAGAAATACCCGTTCAGCCTTGGCAGTTTTCAGCCCTCTATTGACATTAGACCTACCATTAGCTTGAGTACACCTTATGCTTCTTGCTTAATCATACTCCGAAAATGCAAAATAAATTAATTACTGTATCAACACAGTTGATTTATTTCCCTGAAAAAGCACCATCCCTGAATCTTTATTAAAAAAGAAAATTACCATTAACATATAACCCTTTTCCGTATAATTAAAATTCTCTCTAAGGTGGGTAGATTGTCACTAGCATACAGATCAAAATAATTTAGTTATTTTATTTCAGTCTTAACTCCACAAGAAAGTCCTTTCAGATAAAAATCACACCATCACAAAACAAAGAATCAAATATATATTTGCCAAATTGAAATGTTTTCTCGTACTTCGTTAAAAAAAAATGGAACTCCTATAAAAGCTCAATTCAGCTGATGGCAATTTTATATCAATTACTCGATTCCCTTTTCCACAATAAGCTTTGTACCTTTCTCGCCCAACAGTTTCCAAATTTTGAAGTTGAAAATTATTTGTTTACTGTCAATTTCAGGATTCATTCTTTGATACATCGAAAAAATTGAAGGCATATAGATACCAGTAATGCACAGTAAGCTTTTTAATAAGCATATCAACTTTTTATATCACTTTTAAATTAAAAAAAATAACCCTCACTTTTTAAAAATACAACATCCTGGGCATAGAGGGTTTTCACGTGGCGTAACATGACGGGCAAACGCATTTCAGGAAGCGTACCATGTCCGTGGAGGTGCGTCCATTTTTGAATCGGGGTATTTTTATTGGTAATTTCATGAATGTTGAGAGACATGTGCGCACATCTGTGTAAAGTCAACGCTGGTCGTCAAAAATCACGTAACTTGAAAATCCTCTGTATTTTACTGCACATAATCGTAATTTGCAGGGAGGTAAAACAAATTTCAGGTGACATGGCTTAAACCTTACACTACCAATCAAAAAAGAGGACAGAAACTTGAAAAATACACTTCAAAAACAGAAGTTGAAAAGAACTAATATACACATATTCCTGTAATAAATATACTAAAAATATCTATTCCGGCTTGAGGTATTTTTTTATAAATTCAGAGGTAGTCGTCCGATTATTCAGTCAGAGTTATACGAGCTATTGACAATACATGGTGTGCCACCAAAAGGTTGCTAGGGAAAGGCTTTGCTCAGTGCATTGTGGGAAGTGGTCAACAAATTCTGCACGCGGAGAACTTGAATTACTCATGATGTCTGTTTTTCCAGATAAATATTTAAAAGTGATCTGTGGATCTATTCGTCAAGGTTCCACTGGCATCCACTTAACTGGAAATCAGTGCAGGTCGGCCACGCTTTCGTCAATCGTAAACTTGAAAATGGCCTTTCTGCAGCAGCCTCTTGGTGGTGCACTGTAATGTAGACAGCCCTTGAGCGTTTTTGAAACGAGCGGATTCGGCTTTGGTGACTTTGGTGTGGATGGTTCCAGCCATTTTGAAGGAGCGTCTGAAATTACATGTTCAAGCTCTGACCGGAACCAGCGGAAACGAGTCTCCGCCGAATACACTCGTTTCGAAAACGCTCTAAATTACCTAGGTTCCAAAGGAGAGGGCGCTCTTCACTCACATAGATCAGTGCTGTATATACGTGCCTGTTTGTTTCACACGGAACTGAATCTCGATTAGGACTCCGTCTAAAGTTCACTGACACCCGAACCCACCTAACCGACAAAGGGAACCAGCTTTGGGATCATCGATCGAGATCCAGATCTGTGCGGGTTCTGGTGTCAGGGAGCCGACGTTGGGGTCAGACCCGTGTGAAATAATCAGGTCCAGGAACGATGGTGGTTAACGAGAGAAAGGGGAAAGAGGTAGCGCGCAGTGCTTCCTCAACGTAGCGCTTTGCTTTGACGAAGCAGCAGGAAGATACGATTACTACACCTCATAAATATTTCATGAGCAAATTGGAGCGCGTCATTGGCCAATTCCACTTTGCGTGAGGGAAGTAGAAATGATACGCGACCAGGTGACGTCATGGGGGCTAGTATCCACCTCGCTCTCGTGCTGTAGCTTTTTTCTGGTAGCATCAAAAATACCTCTGGAACCTGTCGCGTAAATATGTCGTCTGTGTCATGTAATCTTTACGGAACCAGTCTGGAGTTGTATCCTAAGAACTATTACAGTAAAGACCAAAAACGTGTGTCAGCACCAGACTACTGAAGCCCTGTTTCTATGCATATCTGCACTCCACTATCATTACATGTAAATATAGCAGCTGAGAAACAACAATGGCGTCTGAGTACAAGTAACATGAGATTGCTGTTTGAATATATATGAAGTGTAGTAAAACAAATACAGCAAGGTTTATTTCGAGAAAATAGTGGGAATCACTGGTCCTGAGGTCTAGGTCAATTTGACTACCTCCGGACGCTTTGTATTTGTATAATACTAGACCTTCCAGTCCAATGAAACACTTGGTCGCGCAGAATTAGAAGCCATTACTGCGGTAGCACAACCGTCGTCAACACGTGGAACGCGCACGTTATATGCGTCTTTGACCAATAGGATGCTGTGATTTGCCAAATGCACGCGCATGTCCAGCTGAAGAATGTGCGTGTGAGCGTGTTGCCACCGCACATTATGACGTCTAGCCGGATTAGTGTATTAACACTTGCAAGAATAATTTACATAATTAAAGTATTCAAAGATATTTCAGGAGTTTTTATCGGCACGAATATTAATCTGATACCTTCTTCATGCGAAATGTTACCCATAGCCTTGATTTATGCCCACAGCACAGCTTAAACTTTATCTACTGAAGACCTAAACATCGGAGAGAAGAACATTAGGCCTATTACAATATAATTTTTACCAATTTGAGAAAAGTCGATGAAAAAGATTACAGATAGCTGCCCTCTGTTTCTTCTTTAAAATCACATTTTTTACATCAAATCCATACCTCCTCTGTGATTCCACTCGGGCCCAAATCTTGGCAGCACCGGGGTCGGCTGGTTGAAGTCTTGTGCACACCTTACCGGCAAGGTTGGCTCAGCCGCGCCCGGACAGGGATTTGGCGGAACTCCGTCGACCCCAGCTAAGAGCTGAGCCAGCTGGGAGGGCTTGCCTGGTCCACTCCAACCGGGCGAACCGCCGCCCCGATGGGCTCGCACCGAGTGGGCGTAGTGCAGGTTGATGTCCTCGGTGGAGTGGCCGCAGTCCTCACACACGTACACCTTGCCCCGGCGCTGCTTGAAGGCAAAGTTAAGCTGCATGTTGTGCACCTTGCGCTGGTGGACCTCCAGGGAGCAGCGCTGGGTGAAGGCGCGGACGCATCGGTTGCACTTGAATGGGCGTACCCCTGCGAGGGGAAGGAATGAGACGTCAAGGTTTCAGACAAAGATGGGACCAAAATGATCCCATGAGCTCTTACTGGTCCTCGGATCATATTCAAGCGGGGAAAGGTAATTGCTTTGACTTAACTGCCAACTGGAGATTCTGTTGGTAAAGCATAAGCCAACATCTAGAATGGGGGTTGGCCAGAGGTCAACCCCGCCTACTTATTACCTTTTCAAGCTCTAAGTCAATAAAAGGTTGGAAGACCCTCTAGATAGCATAAATTGGGGGTCTTGTTTTACATAATTATATCAAAAAGATTAAATGGCTTCATCTCTTTGTACGAAGAAAAATATCCCGATCCCACAGGCAAAAATACTTTACACGCCCCTCATAGGAGCGGCAACTTGCACTTGGACATTGAAAAATGTTAAATTTCAATCAGTGGCCATTATGTCTGTAGATTTCCCCAAGTAAACTATACATGTATATCCTTTCACCGGACAAAACCAGCTGGCCGACCGAACGTGGCAAGCACTCACCGGTGTGCGTCCGGATGTGCCGCTTGAGGTCGAACTTGTCGTTGAAGCCCTTGGAGCAGAACGGGCAGGTGTGGCGCTTGAGGCCCACCTGGCCACTAGCCCTGCCTCCCCTTAGCTTGCAGGCCAGCAGGCGCCGGCTGAAGTAGCCCAGGACAGGTTGAACAGGGAATGCCGGCTGAGGTTGCTGGCAGCCGTTGAAGTAAATATGGGGCAGGTCCCCGTGGGGGGCCAACGGGAGATGAGTCGGGAGCTCGGACGCGGGAATGTCTGTCGGGCAAATGTACGAGTCAAAATGTCATGAGGAACAATGTCTGAATGAACGAGTGTCTTTGAGTACGGAAATAAATGTTCTTCAGAGGATTTTTTTTTTGGCAGGTGCTTTCCGCAAATGATGAATCAAACGCGTAGTCTCCTTCAGTGTTACTCTTCGGGTTTAAGCATGCCTTTAGGACACCGGTTTTGTGTACACGAAGTCTGCATTTAAGAAACTCCAAGAAGAGAAACATGAATTGCATTCCCGAGGAGTTTGTGGGGAAAACAAAGAAGATTTAAGATTGTGGCTTCAACCACTCGAAGGCTTGAAAGGACCTTTCAAGTGCGAGTGATTCAACTGAAGTCCCACTTTTGGAGATTTTTTTCTTTTCACTCCTTTTCACCTGAGTTATGACAAGGAAGGCCTCCAGTTGGGTCGCTGGTACTCCTTTCTAGTCTCACACGATCCCCAACTGAAAATGCGCTGGTGTCTCCCCCGTTCGAGCTTGGTAACTTATCATCGAACTTATCAGCCTCAACCTGCCAAGTTGAGGACATTTAATTTTTGCGTTAAAAAGTACAACTACTTTTCGAATGATAAAACACATTTCATTACTTATTAAACAACACCGCTCAGGTTTTGTTTCTAAGAATATGGCCAAAGATAATTCTGTTAAAAACTGCTAAATTTATCGTAACCATAGTAATTCTACATCCTTACCGACATTATTATCATAGCTTTCAATTTGGTTTACTTTTGTTCTTTTTTTATCGGTTGGACGTGAATCAAGGCGAGCACGTGCGGATAAAACATAAGCAGTGTTTTTCAGGGGACCAGTCAAGCGGAGTTTTCGACTTGAATCGAGTCTAGGTTATTTAAAACTTTACTCGCAAATAAGCATTTAAAACAAAGAATTACATTTCCAAATAACAAATTTGGCACATCTGTATTCGAGTATATAGGAAAACAGTATCAGTGAAAGGAGTCATTAGGTGGTGTACATTATCAGTGACTAGCAAGCCGTTTAAAACCTTACGGTCAGCTGCAGTGGTTCATTTACTTCACTCCCGTCGCTGAGGGCGGTATGAAGCTGACGTTCATCATTGGACGAGCCCCCTTAATTAAAGGAAGAAAATTAAACGATGAATGACATCTCAAGGAAATCAATTGCGATATGACACAGGGGAAGATGGAGCATGATGGGACACGAGGCAAGATGGAACATCGACAGCTTGATGATCATCTTTATCAGCAAGCAACAGAGGGCGCTGTAATTTAGTGCTCTGAACAAACCGACAAAAAACAGCCATAATCACAAACACGTGGAATTGGTCTTGGGTCGTCTCGGAAGTATAAAAAAATTGATATTAGGGGACTTCAAATTTTACGGATATAAGATGCAATCCCTAAGAAATTACAGTAAGGTGCAGAGTGGTCATAACTGCGTAGTTTGGCCAGGTTACTAGTCTGTTGTGTCACAGAAAAGCAAGAAGTATGTAACTCTGCGCATGTATTTCACAGTGGCTTCTTCAATAAACTGCAAACACATGGGGCAGGATGGGACACGTCGTCTGGGGCAAGATGAGACAGTGTCCCTTCATAATTTCATGCAGTTACCATTAGGCCTACATTTGTCGAACATCTTTTGTTCATATCATATCCCTTAGGAAATTTCATGGTGTGATGTTGCTACAGAAATATGCCTTCCGTTAGTAAGTCCCATTACCTAAGGGTCTTAAGAATTGAGGAAAACGATTAACTCGTCTCCAAACCCCAGAACAGACCACTTATAATTAATATGCAACAGCAATGTATCCCTTGCCTTGCAAATAAAAAAGATGGTAATAATCTGTACATAAAGCAATGGGGAAATCAGTTTGAAATCGGTGTCCCATCTGGCCCTAAGCACGTAGGGCGAAACGTGACATGTTGAATTTGGAATAATTAGGCCTAGTCATAACTTTACCACAAAGATTAGAAATATAATGGAATTGTGAGTGGTGGTTCACACTTATGTCCTTTCTTTAAGGTTTGGTTTTTGGAAATAAAGTCCTTGTTAGGAAATGTGGCCCATCCTATTCGGACTTTTCCCTGCACTTCGGCGTATAATTGCCGTAGAGCGTGCCAAGCGGCCTCGCCACAGGTTTGTGCCCACGGAGAATGAAAGTGCACACTTCGTTTCCTGCGCACACGGGTGAGCCACGTAAGCGGCAGTCTGCAGGCTGGCTGCCCAGTAGGCATGCGCCCCACACGTTACAGCGAAGAGAAAACTGCTGCAGCCGTTGGTAGGCTAACAAAAACAGCTCACTGGCGGCCGAAGGGACCTTAGGTCCACCCCTTGTCTTCGAAGATATGGGACTATAAATTTCAAGTCTGTAATTTTACTGGATGTGATTCTACTAACATTAATTTTACCAGCCGGCGATGCGGTGCCTCTTCTACGGAGACAGTACCGCCCATCGCTGACCACGAGTAGAGCAGGAATGATTTGGGATAGTTTGTCTTCCTCTATACCCTACCCTCTAAACTAAAACAAAAGCGCAGCACCCCCTCCCCCCTTGAGTCGGTAAATACGGGTTAGAGGTTTGACACAACCGTTTGACGACTTGATACCGAGTCTACATTGCAATGGTATGGTTCATAGCTGATGGGGGAATGAAAGCTATGAAAACGCTTACCCCCCCCCACAAGGTTCAACTGAAGCGATCCATCATGACATCCCACCTCTCATCATGGAGGAAGGGCACAGAAGGAGTTACAACTTTGGCACATCAAAGTGTTCGATGATCATCGCCGCCCGGTCAGACGAACACTAGTAAACATTCCAAAATTACCCGATTACTGCCTGCTGCTTAGCCGGACAAGTGGGGCCAGCAATATCGTGGTGTTTTCTTTGCAATTAACTACAACTTAGGCCTATTGCAGTGACCAGGAAATAGAAAGAAAACATATCTGACATCAGATCTACTTTTGCCGTCGGGAATAATTTTTTTTAATGATTTTGACTTATTTTTCCATCATCCATGCAATGTTTGTAATTTTGATTTGCAATGTTTGTAATTTTATTTTGATTACCAGCGAGAGCCTGGGGCGATGATCATGGGATGGGGGGCTCATGGTTGTGAAACAGGTGGTGCGCTCTGGCTATGGACATACCAAGCATGCCAGAAAGCGGTAATTCGCCAGATGTTGTAGCCAGACAGTTTAAACTCCTGTGTCCTTCCTCCATGCTCATATGCAGCAAGGTACGAGACAGAGAGAA